AGTGCTTGGACCTTTGGAATTGCCTTTAAGGACAATTCTGACAATTCTGACATGAGCTTTCTACTTTTTCTTTCTTTCTTTTTTTTTTTTTTACTTTTTTGGTTGAATGAGACCAGTTGGTGGTTACTGGTTTTGGCATATCGAATACACAACGGATAGCTTGCCAGGCTCTTCCGTGCGGGCGGAATACTCTCGGTAGCTTGCCAGTCTTTCCGAGAGGGATAGAGGCTTTTGGGGCGACCTCTAAATCACCCTTGTAGGTGTTACCATATTTGAACCCTATCAAATACGGTACGACAATTCCGGAAGATGGGTATTTAATGTCTTATAATGGGTCCGGAAAGCGTCCTGGAGTGTGGCGACGGCTGGGTAGTGGGAGTAGTGTCGAGAGTGGAAGTCTGCCAGTGGGGTATTTATCTGGGTAGGGTGGGTCGCCTGTGCGCAATTCGATCCCTGGGTGGTTGATGGAAGCAGACAGGGCAGGGTAGGGTGGGGCTCCTGATTAGAATCCCTTTGTCACCTGTGGTTAGTGGGAGCAAGCAGAGAAGCTCTGTCCCTGGGTCCGCCGAGCCTGGAGTCCAAGGTCTCAGAGAGTTCCGCTTATCTTGTTCTGGGTATTTAAAAAAGGCCTTTGATTCTGTTGAGACGGAAGTGGTCATTGAAGCCCTAGCCAATCAGGGCATTCAAGCCCAATACATCAGCATCCTCCGTGAGCTGTATTGCGGATTCACTACCAGGATCTCACCATTCTACAAAGAAGTGATCATTGATGTCAAGAGAGGGGTGCGGCAGGGTGATACCATTTCACCAAAACTCTTCAGTGCCACCCTCGAGAACATCATGCGACGACTGGAATGGGAAGGAATGGGAGTGAAGATAGATGGTCGGCAACTACACCACCTCCGCTTTGCTGATGACATTGTTTTAATAACACCAAACATCAGCCAAGCGGCACAAATGCTGGCCGACTTTGACCATGAGTGTAGAAAGGTAGGATTACAGCTGAATCTTACGAAGACAATGTTTATGAGAAACAGCCTCGTTCCTGACGCCCCATTCGCTCTCAATGGAATGACCATCTCCGAATGCAACAGCTATGTGTACCTAGGTCGAGAGGTCAACATGACAAATGACCTGGCACCTGAGCTGCGCGGGAGGAAGAGAGCGGCTTGGAACGCCTTCAAGAACGTCGAAGAAATAGCTAAGAGGACGAAGAACCTCCGGCTCCGGGCACATCTCTTTGATTCCACTGTTCTTCCTGCATTAACATATGCCTCAGAGACCTGGGCCCTACGCAAACAAGATGAGAACGCTGTTCAGGTCTCCCAAAGAAGAATAGAAAGAGCTATGCTTGGAATATCACGTTTCACTCAAATGAGAGAAAGAATCCGGAGTTCTGACATCCGTCGACAATCAAGAATCAGGGACGCTGTCTCATTTGCCAAGGTATCGAAAATCAGATGGGCTGGTCACATAATGAGATTTAAAGACGACCGCTGGACTAGAGCTGTTACCGACTGGATTCCACGGGATGTCAAAAGACCGCGTGGCCGCCTACCTACCAGATGGTCAGACTTCTTCGTCAAGATCATGAACAATCGGTTTGAGGCCCTTCATGTTCCCGGAGCAAACAGATGTCATTGGGCTACACTAGCACGCGACAGGGACAAATGGAGATGTTACTGGTGCCCGCTCGAGCAAATCAATGACTAACGGGAAGTTAAGTGTTTAAGAAGTGATTTTTTTGGGTCACACTTGGCAATGCACAGGGATTACTTCTGGCTCTGCACTCAGGAATTACTCCTGGTGGTGCTCAGAGGACCATATAGGATGCTGGGAATCAAACCCGGGTCAGCCGCATGCAAGGCAAATGCCCTATCCACTGTATTATTGCTCCAGCCCCGACATGAGCTTTCTATCTTACTCTGCTAATAATTTCTGTTTATTAGACAGAAAATTCTGGACCTCAGCTATTTCCCCAAAGTCTTCGAGTTTTGGGAGGTTTGGTGTCATTGGACAGAATATCAGTGTATCACCGTCATCCTGTTGGTCATCAATTGCCTCGAGCAGGCCTCAGTAATGTCTCCTTCGTCCTAGCCCTGATATTTTAAAAAGTGCCACATTCGAGGCTCTTTCAGGGTCAGGAGAATGAGACCCATCATTGTTACTGGTTTTTGGCATATTGAATATGCCACGGGGAGTTTGCCAGACTCTGCCATGTGGGCAAGATACTTTTGATAGCCTGCCAGGTTCTCTAGAGTAAGACCTAGATAATAAGATGTCGCGCGGCCACAAATACGGTCACGTGCTTCCGGGAGTAGGGTTTTATAGTCTCTGGGTCTTGGCTGTTGATGGGATTACATGGTGCTGGTGGGTGTAACACCTGGAAGATGGGGGATCTGGGTGGAGGAGGCCCCAGTCCCAATCCGAGCAGGTTTGGAGATCTATGACCCGGGTCCCACACACCTGGGTTCCTCTGCCAGTTCCTTCATGCATGAGGCTCATCCGAACGTGTGGAGAGTGGTCTGAAGTATGACTGTGGCTGGAACCAGAGGTCTTCAGCTGCTGGGGCTCTGCCCAAGGTGGGGAGGGAAACTCAACCCACCCTCCTCCAAGGGGCCCCAGTGAGGACAGCCAGGAGCAGAGGCAGGAGACTCTGCGCTGTTCTCTTCTGGGATCAGGGTTTTATAGTCTCTGGGTCTTGGCTGTTGATGAGTTTACACAGCGCCGGGAAGCAGTTGGTGGGTATGACGCCTGGAAGATGGGGGATCTGGGTGGAGGAGGCCCCTGTCCCAATCTGAGCAGGCTTGGAGATCTACGCCCCGGTCCCGTACAGAATGAATATTCCCAAAACTTGTGTCCATTCTAGGGACTCCTAGAACGTGACAGATAGTAGTGGAGCTGGGGACTGCCAGGCTATTGTCTCTACCAACACAGTCTCTGCAGCACTTGGTGAACTCACTTACTAGAAAAATACTCAGTTTCCATATCCAATTAGAAACACTAGTTATCAGGGCAAGGCCTAGTGAAGTAGTCAGGGCATCTGCTTGGCTTGTGTGGGGTCCCGTGGAAGCCCCGAGCATCACCAGAACGGCCTGGGCATCTCAGAAATGGTGGGCCTGAGCAGCATCAGGCTCTGCATTGAAGCACACACTCTGTTGGCCAAGAGTTGCTTATGGGTCCCCGAGACTTCCCACACAAAGGAAATAGTACAAGGAGCCTCACTCCAGACCTCGCTCTTACCATCTTTCCACAGTTGTTTTGTTTTATTGTTGTTCAGGTTTTGTTGTTGTTGCTGTTTCCAAACAGAGGGAGGCTGGGAGCTTCCAAAGGCAAGCTACTGAGGGAGCATATGGTTTCCAAGGAGCCCACAGATCACTTTCAGTCGGCTCTCAGCTCATTCCCAAAGCGATGCTCTTTCCCTCACCACGTCTCTGCCTCAGGGATTTACTGCATGACTTCCTCTCCCCAAACTGCACAGAAGACAACTAAGTCTCGTCTCCAGACTTAATTCCTCTCCGCAATTCCAAAAATCCAATTTTCAACTGCCAGTTTTTTTTTTTTCCTGGCTGCCTTACCAGTGACTTCCAGTCAGTGAGTCCCACACCTCTCCTCCTCTTCCCCTCCAGCGGCTCTTCCTGTTGCTGCTAATGGAGTCCCTGCTCCCTGTGCTCTGTGGGCTGGAAACGTCTGAGTCATCCTTGAGTCATCGGCTCTCCTAGTCTCTAGATCACAGCAACTGCCGAATCTTGGAGTATCTATTTCCGTTATGTCACTTGATTCTGTTCTCTCCTTCCTCTTGCCACCAATTCTCCCTGGTATGGGCTGTCATTACTTCCCTCCTGACACACAGGAGCATCGCACATTCCCTCTGTTTAACCACCTTCCCTCTGCTGTGGACTTAAGGCTCCTCAAACACAGATCGAATCACATCATTGTCTCAGCCGCTGGCTGGCGTGGTGGTTCTCACTGGTGCTCCATGAAAGAGAAATCATCTTCTAACTTTGCAAATCACAGTTCCTCTTCCAGTACTCTCTGTCCAAGTTAAATGAACTAGTTTCTGATGTAAGATATAGCTCTTGACCCACCTCAACCCTTTTCTATATACATAATTTTCCATAAAAGAAATAAAGATTCTCTTTACTAAATCCTGTATGATATGTATTTGTATGCTAGTTTTCTGTCCTTAGAAGGCTTGACATTTTTTTACTTGTTTTGAGGGTCACTCCCAATGATGCTCGGGGGTTACTCTTGGTTCTGCACTCAGGAATCACTCCTGGAATTGCTTGGGGGACCATATGGGATGCTGGGGATCGAACCTGGGTTGGCTGCGTGCAAGGTAGACGCCCTACTTGCTGTACTATGATTCTGGCCCCAAGACTTGACATTTTTGGACTTACTTTTGCTTCCTATTTGAGTAATGCATGTTCCTATAGCTGCTTAAAATAACAGTGTGAAATAATTTAACTCCCATAGTATTCCAATTGAATCCTCACTTTACCAGTGGTAATGATAAATAATGATAGAGAGAAGCTGAATAATTTGCTGAGGCCCCATAACTAATAAACAGCAAAGTCAGGATTGAAATTCATTTGATTAGAGTGGGGAGCTGGCTGAAACAGCTGAAGCAGATAACTGGCATGCATGGGGACCTGGGTTCAATCCTTGACACCACTTGGTCTCTCCCAGGAATGATCTGATATAGTTCCAGTGGCCCCCGTCACACCCAAGGAGGAACCCATCTCCCCGCCTCCCAAATAAACAAATGCACAGAGCTCTTACCACTGCATTCACATTTGTCTTTGTTTGAATTTAGTTGTGTTATTTATTTATGGACTTTAAAAGTGCATTAATAGTTGGAAATAACATGGATAGGCTGATTATGCAAATACAACTTGCTATTAGGAATTATTTTAAAGTATTTCCCAGGAATTGCTATAAAACTAAGAGACATCTGAATGCTATTGCTCCTTACTTGTTCTTTTCTTTTTCTATTCAAGTACATGGGTTGTATTGAAGTGCTGCAATCAATGAGGTCACTGGATTTTGGGATGAGAACACAAGTTACAAGGTAAGAGAAGAAAAATGGGAGGGCTTTGGGGCTACAGTCTAAAGACCAACCAATCTTTCTCCAAGTAGTCTCACTCAAGTCTTCAACGGCATCGTTGGATTTTGCTTCTGTAGCTGACCTAGCATAGTGGACTTAGGATGGGTGAGTTTATTCATCATGATTGCCCAATGGTGTGTGAAGTGTCTGTATTGAGGTAAGATTTGTTCAGATGATGTGATAGAGGATTAGTTGATTTACCAGACACTGGTATTTAAAAGTATGCCTAGAATAAAGGCATTACAAAATCTTGTATTTGAAAAAATCACCAAAGATAAGATGAGGGAAAGAATTTTCACATCAGAAAGACCAAGCTTTTCACATGGAAAGCATCCAGATAGGAATCCCTCTTGCTTCTAATCTAAGTCTCCCTCTTCTACATAGAATGGGTTGTACACAAGAGTTAAAGCAGGGAGGCCTTACCCAGGGGTCTCCAGGAGATAGAGGGGAAGTAGAATCATTATTACACAGTTTAAGTCAGAAGTAGAAATTATAAGGCAGTTTTTAAAATCCAATTTCAAAGGAAGAATGAAAAAAGGCATAATTGAGCACAAACACTGGTAACTGGAAAAATTGTGAGGGGGTAAGGTGAGAACCCTGGATTCCTGTGAGTGATTCGGAAGACTTGGACATCTGTTGCATGAGGTGCCCATGTGCACCTTGAGGGTTAGTAATATGCCCATTTACAACCACAGCTACAGGTTACCTACTCCAAAGGAGAAATCTTCTCATCCTGAATGGAGGATAATACTTAAGTGTGGAATTATGGGTCTGTAATGTTCTGTTGGATCAGGAAAAGGACGTATACTGCTCTTTGGAAGAGTCACAGTATGTGGTCTATTAAAGACTTAGAGAAATCTTGTGTTGTAGCTAAAAAAATTAACTTTATTTCAAGATTTTCTAAATTGATTTGGTCCCCAAAGCCTTTCTTTTATGTAATATAAATGAACATCCCAAGTACCTCTAGGGTTCTATGAAATGCACTTTAGGAAATACTGTTGCAGACTCTATAATGTGTTCAGCTCTGTCTTTCCAATTTCTCACCCATAATATAATGGTGGGTTTTGTTATTGTTAGTGGTATACTCTTTTATGGCTAAATTGGTCCCTGGCACATGGAAGAGGCCCAGAGTTAATTACTGAATAAATGCAGATTTACACCTCACTACTTTCCAGAATTTAAATCTTCTTGCATTCTCAGTCCATTTATCTCTCTATTTACTTCATGTAGTTGGTTTCTAGACTAGAGTCTATTCTGCCAGATCTACTTTGAACACATTTTAAGCTTTGTTTACTCCTGATAATTCCTGCCCTGGGGAAAGTCCTTCTTCCAATCCAATCCAATAGTATATTACATATGAGAGGAAGGGACTGCTCCGGTACCTAGAATGGGGCCCACAGGTCAGAAAAATGCCCACTGGTTTTCCCCCAAGAAGGACTGAATTTTCACTTATTCATCCATTCATTTAATTATTGATACATCCACTTTCATTCAATTGTTTATGGAGTTCCCTTAGAGGACATAAAACTTTAAGAATTAAGGATGTTGATGGGAATGGAGAGTTAGTACAGCAGTCAAGGCCCTGCGAGGAGTGATCCCTGAGCACAAAGCCAGGAGTAAGCCCTGAATACGGCTGGGTGTCTCCCCAAAACCCAAAATACAAGAATTAAGGATGTCAAAACCTCTGTCATCGTAAAATTTACATTCCAGTTGCAGAACCACACTAGGGGGAGAAAACAAGCACACAGTGTATTCTTCACATTAGTAGCAGGTGTCATTACTATAACAGAGGTAAGAGGATAAAGAGGTAGAGGATGGGTCTTTATTTTTTTTTCAATTTTTTTGGCTTTTTGGGTCACACCCTGTGATGTTCAGGGGTTACTTCTGGCTCTATACACAAGACTTACTCCTGGCATTGCTTGGGGGACCATATAAGATGTCAGGGATTGAACCCAGGTCAGCTGCATGTAAGGCAAATGTCCTACCCACTGTACTATCACTCTGGCCTCAAGGATGAATCTTCAAATTGTATATTCTGGCATAAAAATGCTGTATTTATTCTTGTGAACATTTAAAAATCATCCATAGTATCTCATAACTATTTTGTGTTTGGGACTATCAATCTGTCCTTTTTGTATCCATACACAAGCATGTCATAATTTCTATATGAACATTTGATAAATTTTGATATTATAGCTCCTGATTTGATATTATAATTTTGATATTATAGCTCCTGATTTGATATTATAATTTTGATATTATAGCTCCTGACTTGAACATTTTAGTGTTGCTAGATATCCTAAAGACTTTTTTAAATTGTGGTAAGAGACATAGAACCTAAAAACCTGTCATTTTAAGCATTTTTCTATGCACTGTTCATGGCAGTAAGGTGGCATATCACAACCAACATTGCCATCCATTTACAGAAAGAATGTTTTTATCTTCCCAAACTGAAATTCTCTGTTCATGAAATGAACTTCTCATTCTTTCCTCTTCCCAAACCCTCCCCTCCCACCCTGCCGCTGGCAATCATCATTCTCTGTCTCTATGAATTTGGCTACTCTAAGTGCATCCTATAAATGGAATCATAGAGCATTTATCCCTTTGTCACTGGCTTATATTATTTAGGATAATGTCTCCCAAAGCGTACCACTAGGTCAAAGAAAAGAAATATTTTGAAGGCTTCTGATACATAGAACCAGATTGTCCTGTAGAAGAATGCTGCTGGTTGGTGCTTTTCCCTTCTGGCTATATATCTATTTTTTATTAGTACCCATTTAAAAAAATCTTTATCAGTGTGTAAGTCTGTGTTTTCCTACTGAAAGCTTAAAGGCTATTTTTGATCTTTGCCATGAAGATTCCGTGTGTGACTAGAGCACACACCCAGTGGAAAGTCTCCTGTGTAGTATTTAGAGATATTTCCCAGAAATATCTGGGTTTGCCGCCAGCATGGCAGACTGTGCAGAACAGATTTGTGGAAGTTTGAGGGGGTGGTGTTTTCTTTAGATTTGGTTGTGAGAAAGGTCTCTGAGAGGAGCTGACACTTGAGCAAGGCTCTGGTGGGGATCTAGTGATGAGGTGGGGGAGGGGTCCTCTGGGAGAAGGACACTCCAGGCTCCTATCGGCATCCAGTGTCAACCTTGACAAGACTCACAACCTTTGTTTGGTAAAAGCATGTGTACACCATTTAGAGTAGATGTAAACGATCTCTCCCAACTCATTGGAGGGAGAGACCAACTGAATGGGAGGATAAAGAAACTCTGATAGGACCGCATACTTTGTCTTGAGGAAGGAGAACCAACCATCAGTGTCCTAGGAACCTTATCTCAGGTGTGGCTGAAAAGCAGTGAAGCTGCTTTCTGTATGCCAGACTAACCCAGTCTCTCTGCTTCAGGCTGCTTTACCTGGCTTTCTGGATAGCTTCCTGGGTGCTGGAGAGCTGGAGAGATACTATAGCTTATGGGTTTGGCAATAGACCTGGGACTTTCTAACTTAGAAGGAGAAAGCCCACTGAGAAGGTAAGATAGGAGAAAGGGAAGAAGTTTTAAGGAATAGAACTTTCAAGGAACCATCAATAGCGGTGACATTGAATATGTTGCCGCAGTGATAGGTTTGCTCTACTTCAAGCAGTTTATAAAACCCTAAATTTACTGAAGAAACAGAAAAAAAAGATGGTTGCTGAATTCATCCTTAGGGGTCCTTTAAGTAGTGAGTTCCTTGCAGGCATTTCAAAGAAAATTCAATAGGAAAAAAAATTGTTTTCATTCTTTGTTTTTCCAGGAGTTTACATATTTGGTCAAGGAGAGGGAAATCCTTGAAATTCTAGGCCTTAGAGGTTATTCTCCAAAGGCTATAGGCTTCAGTGTTACAGGAGATAATAGTAAACAGATCTCCTTTTATATGTGGACTGAAGGGTCCATATTATTTGGGATCAGGACCCTTTACATCCCTAATCAATTTATTTTGGGTCTAGTGTGATCATTAGAATCACGTGAGTGGTATAAGAGCCACAAGTGACCCCATATCTTCATATGTCTAGTGTTAAGGGATTCACTTTTCTCCAAATCTCTATTTGCTTGTTTTGGTTTTAGGCTACCCTTGGTGATACTCATGGTTTACTCCTGGATCTGTGTTCCAGAGGGTTCAGGGGAACGTCTGTGGTGCTGGGGATGGAACCTGGGTTTGTCAAACCTCTAAATTCTACACTACTTTCCTACTTTCTAGTCTTTCCTGTCTTAAAATTTCCCCTTCTTTCAAATTATTATTTTAATTTCTATATATTTTGATGGCATGTGTGTGTGTGTGTGACCACACCAGAGGTCATCAGGGATTACTCCTGCTGGTACTTGGGTTGGCCACATGCAAGGAAAACACCTTCACTTCTGTGCTCTCTCTAGCCCCCATAATTCCTGATATTTTTCACATCCAACCACACTATCCAAGTTGCTCTATTTCTAAGTGCCTTGGCTGTTACCATTAAAACATTAGTGTTGAATCAGATTTCATACTAGTTTAGAGTTAATTTTCATGTATTCTGTTTCATTTAGATCATAATCTTTTTTAGATCATAATCTTTTTTAGATCATAATCTTAATTAATCCAAGAGAAATGTTTTCCAGTGTAGTGGCTGGGAAGCTAGCCACAGTGATAGAGCACAAGTCTAATGCATATGAAATCCATAAATGTGTATTTCTAGGGGAGCTCCAGGCCGGGCCACCTAGCCCAGGATTGCCATGCGGGGCCCCTATCAAAAAATTTACCCCCAGGAATCAGTTAGAATTTCAAGAACTTACTTTTGTGTGACTGTAACTGTAACAATCTCCTAGTATTTACCATCAGTCACTTGAGAATGCTAATTGTTAACCAGTTGCCAATCTACGTACCAACAATTTCACTTTATGGTGAAGACCTACCTCCAGTAGATGGTCCCATTATCTCTAGATATTAGTTAGTGCCTGTCCCAG